CTGAAAAAAGTTTTGAAACTGAAAAAAAGATCTGAAACTGAAAAAAGTTTTGAAAATGAAAAAAAGATCAGAAACTGAAAAAAGTTTTGAAACTGAAAAAAAGATTTGAATCTGAAAAAAGATCAGAATCTGAAAAAAGATCAGAAACTGAAAAAACACTGTAATTAATCAGTTAATATTCCTCTGACTGTTTCTAGTTTGGGGAGTTCATCAAGCTGCAGGTAGCCGAGGGCAAAGGTCGTATAAAGCCTGGAATGACTATGGAGCAGGTTGTTGTCGACATGTTTGATAACCAGGACAGAAATAAAGACGGAGTGATCAAGGCCGACGAGCTGAAACTGAAGGTGGAGGAGGACCAGGAGCGGGAACAAATGATGCACGAGGAGCTGTGATGATGAGAAGGACACTTTTTAAAAAAATACTCTCAGGAACGAACCCCAACACCTTAAAAAAAAAAAAAAAACACATCAACGAGAGACTTTTCCCAAACAGGTTTTAATGTTGGACAGTTTTTGAAATGAAAAGAACAAAGTGCAAATGCTCTTTTTGCAGAGTTTTGTGTTGTATGAGTGTTTTTGTTTGAGAGTTGTATTTTTAAAAAACTGAACAAGCACCTTTTAATTTTCCTGATGTCACGTGAATTAAAATGTAAGAAAACAAATGTGGTTTCAGTTCTTCTGTGACTTGTAACTTGAAATCATCACATACATACACTGTATATTCTTGACAACATACGGTTGAAAAACATTTATAAAGATGCACATTTAATATTCATACAGTTTTTGTTAAGTTAAATCTAATGGGGAAGTACACCCATTTTTTCATAGGTCTTTGAGCCCTACAGCATGACACTAATGGCCCAGAATCCCCTGCAAGTAAAGTGACAATAGCCTGGAGCATTAAGTGTACACAGTGGTAAAACACAGAACACACAAAATTCACCAAAACTGTTGTTAGTATGAAGCATTAAACTTGTATAGAGACAGGTTCATACACACTTTCTGTCTTTGTACGCAATGATATTAAAAACCCTCATACAGTTAAACAACAAGGTAATAATTAGTATTTTGAGCTAAAGAGGACAGGCAATTACAAATACACTGTGAAAATATCTGTTCTGAGAGTTTTGGGAGGTTGATGATTAGTTTTCAGAGGGAAGGATGGCAGGATATACTTTATCTATTTAAAATAATATAATTTGTCCATTCCGGTCCCACTGGTTCTATTCTGACATTTAAAGTAAACAGCAGGAAAGAACGCAAAGAAGCAAAAGTTGTAGCCTACAAAGACAGTAAATCTAATTTGGCTGCAAAACACAGTCAATCATAAATTCTAAAAAGTAAAACAAAAATTAAAGACCTATTTTCAATATTTTGAACATTTGGACTGGGTTGGTGTTTTTAAGCAAATTCAAGTAAAAACCGGTTAGTGTAACAAAGTGATCTGCACCATTATCCACTTCAGTGGAGACAGGAGTGAAAAGGTCAGTTCTGAGGTCTCGTTTGAGGTAAGTAAGGATCATAATGTGCGATTGTCTAGCTTCCAACACTGTAAATGGAGTAAATATGTCCGTCTGTGTGTCTCACTTGTCTCTCCATGAACTAATATATCTGAGGATGGCATTCGGAACATCCATCGTCTCGTCTTTCACCAGCACGATGTCAAAGGAGTTGATGTACGACTCTTTCCTCTCTTCTACCTGAGAGACACAAAACGTCAATCAATCAATCAATCAATCAATCAATCAATCAATCAATCAATCAACTGTCTACAACTGTTTGTGTCCAACAAATCCCAGCATCAAACAGTCACCAAACAATAGTCCATGCACTGTGGTCAGACCTGGTCATTCAGGAAGCCGATGGTCAGGACGTTCTGGGGCTCGGACACCCCATCAGCCATGGTCAGGTCTCCCAGAGAGTCTCCCAGCAGCAGCACGTTGGGTCGACCCTGCAGCTCCCTGAGTCCGGCGGCGTGCGACAGAGCACCTTCCCTCTTGTTGAACGTGTGGATGAGTTGACCTTTGAAGGCTTGAAGGACGCCCTTAACAAAGAGACAGTGTTTAAGAGAGGGTGTTTCACATAGAGACTGAAGTTGGTGGAGTATTATCATGTTTGTGTTGCACTGAAAGGTGCAAATGTAACAGAACAACAAACCTCTTGTGAGGTAAATTAATGATGGAAAATACACCAATAATGGTGCTCCATCATAATTTTGTATTATTTGAAGCCTTATTTGCTCATGTGCTTTGTATTTATAATGGTTTGTTTGGTCTCTAGTTGAATTTGATGTAATTTCATCACTTTATAAATATCTTTAAGACCATCTCTGGCCCTCAAGTTCAATATTATGCAAATGATCTCATACAATAATGTACATGATAAAATGCATGTGGAGGCAGCCATGGTCTAACTCACAGTTTGGTCAAAGTCCATGTAGTTAGAGACGACGTGGACGTTAGGATGGAAAACGTGGTTCTGTCGGATCACTTCCTCCAGGACGTCTCCGACACCGGCCGAGAGGATCAACAGAGGAACCTGCTGCTCTGCCAGACGCTCAAAAAACACCTTGTAGCCGTCCCTAAACAAACACACACACCTCATTAGATTACACACATGAACTAATGACTATCTACACATGAAATGCAATTAAAGAATATGACACATGAGAAACACTGCTGAAGCTAGTATTGCAGATTCCTTCAAGAAGTATAACAAGAACTAAGATTGATGGAATTATTTTGCCTGGACTTCAGTTCTTTTAGTTTTCTTACGAAAATATGAATTTTAAATTTTGTCCCAATTACATGAGGGAAAAAAAAAATATATATAGTCTATTAGGACTTCAAAACATCTGTAGGTGTTCTGGGTAAACTCCATTTGACCTTAAGTCTGCGTGTACCTGAGCATAGCACTGGATTCCTTCACAGCCTGGGCGAGCATGTCCTTTCGGATCCTCTGCTGAATCAGCAGCTCGTGAACTTTGGTCCACCTGTCGAGAGCAGCACAAACATCAGGATCTAAAACATCCTCAGCTTTACCGACCTGTTCTTCACTACACAGGAAATCAATGTCTTCAGATTGAAAATACTGGGAAATTGTTTTTTAATCTTAATAAATCAACATCATATCAAGGGAAGGATTTACTGTTTAATTGAACTGTTTCCTACTCTCTGCATTTTTACTTGTAAAGCACCTTGTTACTGTGTTTGAAAGGTGCAATATAAATAAAGTCATTATTATTATAGCATAGAGTTGAGCTAAAATCTGACCATATATCTCAGTCCTAAAACGAGATAAAGAGAATCCAGTTAATCAAACAACACAAAAGCATACATCACATATTTATTGAGCATAATGTTTACAGATTTAACCGTCTGTAACTATGTGAACTTTGGCTTTTAGTCAATGTTCAGTCCTGCAGATCGACCACTGCTCTTAACAATATATAATAATAACTGATATTTGAATAGTTGAACTTCCTTGACAGAACGTCACATCCTTAGACAAAATTTCTACTGTTTTGAGTGTAAGTAGAAATTTTTAAATGGTTCACAAACTGTACATATTAAACAGAAGCACTATGATTTTTCTTACCACTCCACCATGAGTGGCAGCTTCTCTTCAACACTCAGACCTGCATCAATCTCTATGGGATAGTAGGTGTTCAAAAGCTGCCTCATCTGCAATAAACCAACACAAAATACTGAAAAATGATTTAAAGACAAACTACATAGGAAGTATCAGCGTGTTCATAGTGGAGTGACACAATTAAGGAGTAGCAAACAAATCCTAAATCCTACCTTTCTAGTGCAGTCTTCATTGATCAGTAAGTGGCTGTCCAGGATGTCTGCAAATGCAAGGATAACGGGTTTGTATTAGTTTCAGAAAGGCACAAGAAAGTCATACAAACAAGTCAACAAAGTTCACAAAAGTAAAGCATGCAAACTACCGGGTCAATTCATAAATCCTTCCCATCAAAAGATCAGGACCCTGTTCAGACCCTACGATGATCATGAAGCAGACGATCTTTGTGGCCTGTGTGCTTACTGTGGCTGGTGGGCACTCTCTTGCCGTTGTGAGCAAATCTGGTCAGCGTCATGTCGAAGTCTGCGATTACCTGAGACAACAGGACGTCTTAGAATTGAAAATATAACTAAAGAATTGCATCCTCAGTTCTGATGAAATCCTGATAAAAATGTGCCCTCCTCTGCTCATTTCTCTCACCTGCAGGCTGCCGGCACCTGCTCGCTGGATGGCGCGGATGGTCTCCTCCACTCTGCCGCGCTCCCTCATCAGCACAGAGCAATTGGCCAGCTCTGGGACCTGAACAGAAACGAGATCCGTCTTATTAGGCATGTTCTTCCTCATACAGTTAGAGAGCAGAAAACAAGGAGCGCTATGGTGGCAAAAACAGACTCCAGGGAGGATTTATACTCAAATATACGCATTGAACAGGCAACATGGTTTGGTTATATCAAGATCATCACACACGATTTCTGTAACACCTCAGTATAATTGTTTTTCTGTCGTCTTTCTTTCAGTGAGTGCATATAAATTCACATAAAACACTTGTAAATCATAATTATTTCTGGTTTAGACCTTTTTACTCCCACTAATCCTCACCGGGGTTTTGGTCAGCTGGTGCCAGATGGCAAGGAAAGTCCGTGCCGGTGTGTAGATCCATGGAATATGGTATATCTGCAAGTAAAGCCCAGAAGAAAACTCATTTAGTCATTTTATAGAGTTGGGTTTTGAAATACTAATATTTTTTTCAGTTGATTTAGTTCCATTTAATGATTTTAAAGTATATTGTTCAGATGTGCATAAACAGTAAAAATTATTTGCTATATATAGTGAAGAGATATTCCATTTATAAAGGAGGGGTAACTTCATATTCACTTGAGTTTAAACGACGACTTCGATGAAAAAACCTCATTTTACCATTTTCAGTCGAAGTGACGATTCTTCTCCGAACCTCTGTTCATCACTAACAGTTCATTTCTTCACCGACGAGCTGTTTGCTTCAGAAAATAATGAAACACTGATAAAAACAACGAAACAGCTCTGAAGGATTTGTTTACATTCTCCGTGTTGGTCCCACCCACAGCAGTCCCCCTGCAAACGCGGAGTGGACGAACAAGGTTCCCGACGCATATTTGTTCCTACTGGCTCACCGTAGAAACAAATACAGAAAAATACCATAAAGTCAAATAATAATTTATCCACCACAGACATGATCATTGTAATTCTATCAACAATTTAATACCAAAATCTTCATTTATGTAATTCGACTAATATCGTAAAAATGATTATACAAGAACATCTAGTAGTCCGGTAATTGAGGAAAAAAATTACGTTGCAAAGACAAATATTATGGTGCTTACTGATTTGAAGTTGTACCCATATAAATAACCATATTTAATTTTGTGTTTTTGGTATTTACATGCATTTATTTAGGCCTTTTTACTTAGCCTAGATATTTATTTTTTAACATTTTGAAAATGAAGCATGTATTAATTTACTTTGATATAAGATTTTTTTTTTAAATCCATGTAGTTTACAAGTTTCTTAAAAGTCCCTGTAAAGTTGTTTTTTTTGTGCACTGTCCCTTTAAAAGTGTCTCTCGCGCTTTTTGGCCTCTGTCGCTCTCCGTCGCACCCGGAAGTGTTTGCACAGGGTGTCTGGTGGAGCCACGCTCAGCGCCACAGGTTCAAGTCCGGACATATCGGCGCGTGTTAACGAGTATCAGAGAAGTGAGAGATGTCCGGGGGCAGCCGCCTGGAGAACGCGAACCCGGTGATCTTCCAGCGGTCCGGAGAGAGGCTGCTGACGGCGACCGACGAGGATGAAGACGTTCACGACCCCATCGACGACAGAGAGATCTTCGATATCCTGTTTCCGTCGGACAGCGACTTCACTTCCGCTCCTGTTGAAGATCCATTCGAACTCCTGCTGTGTTCATTCTGTCTTTACTCGTGCTAACACGTGAGCTAGCGCTAGCATGTACTCAGAGATGGGTGGTGTGAAGTAAACACAAACAGCCATCTTGGTTTTTTTTTTTTTAGATCATCGGAGTCTCTTGTAAGAGTCAACAACAACAACAACAACAATAATAATAATAACAATAAGAAGAAGAAGACAGGTGTCCTCCATGTTGTCTCCTCTCTCATGTTGTGTCTTTAACTAAAGTTACATCTGATCAGATCCATCAACGACCCGGAGCATCCTCTGTCTCTGGAAGAGCTCAACGTGGTGGAGCAGATTAGAGTCAAGGTACGATCCTGTCCTCCTGCTTGTTGTATTTCTACTTTTACTACAGGATGAATGTTGATCATTCTCTTGTCCCCGCAGGTTCTGAGTGACGGCAAGTACCCAGCCTCATCTCCTGTGGATGCTGTGTATCTCTGTGGCCTGGAGCTCAGNATTAATTACTTTGGTACAGAAAAGATCATAAAAACCTGATAATTTTCAGGCAAGTTCTGAAGCTGTATCATCCAAATCATGTCAAAAGTTTTCTTCTTTATTGACCATGAAATAGGGTCAAACGTTTTTATTCTGTATCGTAGAAAATGTAGAAATGTTTTGTAACTAAACCTATTGACAAAACTGCAATCTTAAATTATGACATAAAGACTTTGAGTGATTTAATATTGTAGTTTGTCTGCTTTTTGGTTTTGAGTAACATCAACACCTCAACACTCGGAAAGAAAATGAGCTGTTTGGTTAAATACATAACACTGACTGTGATCACTGTTAATGACTCCCTGACAAATATCACGAAGAAAAGCAAAACACATTTATTTTATCATCAGCTTGTAAAAGGTCTATTTGGCTTTGTGTAAATATGATAGATAGATGGGTGCATCTTTTTCAGAGAAGACAAACTACATTTCACTGCTTTAACTTTTATTCATAGAGTCTGTGCACTTACAGCTCTTTCAATGACATCATGTCACACAGTACACTTGTAGTACACCAAGTAGGCTTGGCTGCATGAAATCTGAATACATGGCACTGGCAAATCAGACTTGATCTAAAATCACCTCTTATCAAACTTGGCACAAACATCTGAAGCCTCAAATGCGACATCTACATATTATAGATAAAATCTCCCCATGTCTGTGTCCACAGTGAAAGTAACTAAAAAATCCAAACCTCCACAAATAAATGAACTCATTCATCAACCACATTATACACAGTATGTTAGTGGAAAGGTCTTGGGCTCACCATGTCTACTTGGATCATAGTTACAGACAGCTTAGCTGGAGATACCACAGACTGGAGCAGTTTCTGATCAGTAACAGAGAAACACTGAGCTCAGCAACTGGTCCACACAACACAGAGAAGACAATATTGACATTCACAATCAGGGTCTTTTAGTGCAGTAAATGCAGTAAAATCAACTGCATTGATTCAAGAAAAGTTTGGAACATTGAGAGAACTTAATGGTTTAAAGTGTTTTACCCATTTTAGAGTCTTCCCACAGTTCAGTGTCCGTGTGTGAACATGCACTCTTGGTCACTCAAAGGAAATTGCAGAGAAAAGTCTGCAAGAAGCACAAAGAGTCCAGAAAAAAACCAACAAACCAAAAGACTCAACAGACGTTGGTCCCTGACATAACAACATTAAATGAGACAACAGCTTTTAAATTTAAATCAGAGGCAGAGATATTTGGATAAAAAAATGACTTCTTGTCATTATCATGGTGACATTTGGTCTAAGCTTCAAGATATGTTGATCACATAAAGCAATTTCAACCAGCTGAAATAAATCATACACATTCGTTGGAATTTAAAAACAGCATTACCCCAAGTTTTTAGTGCAAAATTGTCTTATGTAGGCTTATGTTTTTAAAATCACAGCCCACCCTGTTCCCCAATATACAGTTTGCTTTGCTTAATATTTATTTCTTGCACACAAAATGAATCACTTTCAAGTGGCTCACACATGTAAGAATTCTCACAGCGCAAAAAGGTAAAATCATGATAAAATTTGGAGTTAGAAATAAATATTCAAGACTGATAACAAAGTAGCGTATCTGGTGATTTCTTTTTTTTTCTCGTGTGTGTGATCTTCAGCCCCACGTAAACCCATGCAGAAAATAAAAGCCTCAGAAATATTTCTCAGCAGAAGAAGTGCTGACAGGACTGTTCAAAGCTGAACGTCAGATTCAATCTCAACATTCGATCTGAGACTGCAGCTGCCTCCGCAGGGTGAGTGTCCGCAGATGGAGCTGCTGCATCTGCTGCATGCGGTCTCGCTGACGAGCCAGGTTCTGGGGCATGGGGAATCGCTGGCAGCCGTAGAGATACTGGTACGGGATGCGAACGTGGCAGGCCGCTGCTCGACAGCGAGGCTGAGGTAAGGGTGGCAGCAGCATCCAACGCTTCTTTTCAGCACAGTAACGGTAGACCTCCTTGCGGTACTGCTTGTCCATGTTGGTGCTGTTCCTCCACCCGCCAATGATGAAAATGTCCTCACCCAGGTAGCAGATGGCAGCCCCTTCCATATTGAGGACCTCTGGAGGGAGGCTGTCGAGGATGTCGTCGGAGATGTTTATGCTTATTTTCTGCCGAGCGGCCTCCTCTGTTACGTCGTAGTTCTTGGGGCAACAGGAAGCTGTGTGGTAGAAGTTGGTGGATGCGACGGCCATTTGAAAGACACAGTAGTTATCGATGAGCGGTAATGAGTCCACATCCTGCCACTTGTAGCTCTCGGTGTCATAGCAAGTGGTCACAGTGCTCAGTCCATCCTCGAAGTCCAAGTCTACAGGGGTCCTGGCCATCACATACACGTAGCGGTCCTCCACGCTCACCGTTTTTACATCTCGTAGTATTTTTGGTGCTGGATCGATATTTCGCCACTCGTCCTGCTCAGGCTCGTAGACGGTAACGTCCTTAAAGCCTGGACTGAAGTTTCCGTGACCACCGATGCCGCAGAGAACCTCTTTGACACACGTGAGGCCGAACGAGTGCTTGCGAGAGCTCAGGCTGCTGACCTGCTCCCAGCTGTTGAGGCAAGGGTCGTAGCGTTCCACCACTTTGGCGAAGCCTGGCTCCATGGAGCCCGCCACATAAACATGGCTGTCGGTGACTGCGATAGCATGTCCATCAAGGTGGTTGTGAATGTGCGGCAGGTTGACCCAGCGGTCCTCAGCGACAAAGTAGCCCACACACTCACTCAAATACTCTCCACCTTCTGAAACACCACCCACGACCATGATTACGTCCATGTTCTGGCCAAAACGCGGCTGGGTCGCAGTCATGTGGGAGGCACAGAGCTCCAAATCAGCAGACTTGAGGCTCTCAAAGTGAACAGCGTGAACCTCGAGGGTGTCGGACACCAGCTTCTGACAAGACGCACTGTTCTCCACTAAGGGCTCCTTCCTCACCACCTGCATCAGGACGGTGGGAGCAATCTGTGACAGCCTCAAGAGCCCGAACAGCTCCTCAAAATGCTTCTCTCGCTCCTCTGGGTTTTGCTGCACCCATTTCACGATGGCCTCAAACAGCTCCTGCTCAGAATCCACTGTGATTTCTGAGTCCGAGAGCCAGGTCTGCAGGAGATGAAATGGCAGCGTGAAGAATTCCTCATTGCGGATGACTTTGGTGAAGTTCCTCCGAATCATCTTGGCGGCTCCCGCGGCGAGCTGGTCCAGGGTGTACATGTGGGCGAGGCTGTGCACGGCGACGCAGTTGGACAAGCTCAACTTCTTCATGAGAAACTCTCCACAGAAGCTCTTCAGCTGCACCAGCAGGAACCTAGAGGTGAGAATACATCAGAATTATCAGACTGTGTATAAAGATGGATGACATGACCGCACCCCTAAAGTGAAATCAAATAATCCCAAACACCCCCTGGTGGCTGGCTGGCTGCAATAAAGCTTGTATGCCCTGTTTCCTCCATGTTAGTGGATGGGACCAAACTAAAAAGTCAAAAATACAAAGTTACATGAATGTTTCTCAAAGATGGTTACTGTTATTTTAGGTAGTTCTTGTCACACTGAGATCTTGAGACAATAAATGCTGTGATTTGGTGCTATACAAACTTCTGCCCAGGTTGAAGCTGGGTGTGGCGAGGACAGTAATCATGACATCACCAGTGTCTGTGTTGTGGTGTAGGTGCAGCAGAATATGAGAGTTGTCAGACCAGCATATTGTTTACACCCGAAACAATAAGTGAGGATCAGTCAGGCAAAGAGGGAAAATAACAATGATGTGTACGGTCACAAAATGCCAACAAAGCCTCACCTGCTCCCAGCAGACTCTCTGGTACAAGTACGCAGTGGGTGAAACAATTAAACAATGTGCATAATGAAGTATTTAAATCATTCATCCATAAACATCAGTCCCGTCCACTCTCTGATTCAGATTAAATGTATGATTTAAATACTTTCATCATGCTTCACCCACTACATATATCTACCCAAGTGTAGCAGTACTACACTACATACTTCTACCCAAGTGGGTACTTCTACACAAGTATGCAGTGGTTGAAACAGGTAAAGGCCACAATGTACATGATGCAAGTATTTCATTTGTTCTGTTTCTTCCACTTCCTGGTTCAGACTGAATGACTGAAATCACCTGTCAGCCAGTTCCAGTACTTCATGGACACTAGCGGTGGTGACGGTGATCTCTCCGGTGTACATGAACTGGATGACTCTCCTCACAGCCTCCGGCTCCAGTCCGCTCTCGGAGCTCCAGCCCTTCAGCTCCACTCTCGCCGACTGGGACTCGGAGAAGTGTCCGCCCAGCAGCAGGGTGAAGTAGTGCGACGCCGCGGACAGAACCGAGCGGTGAGCGGACAGAGTCTGGACCCGCTCCCCGCCGGACTCGCACGCCCCCCCGGAGCGGAACTCCAGCGTCACGTCGCAGAACAGCCCCGCCTTCCTCTGCTCGTTCTGCAGCCGGGAGAGCTCGGAGCGGTGGGTCGGGCAGGAGAACTCCTCGGCCTCCTCGGGTTCCCCGTCACCTGTTAGCGCCGCTCCGCCGCCGCCGCAGCTCCGGTCACCGCGGTCCTCCGGCTCCTCCGCCGCCGCCATACCCCCGCAGGACGCCAGTGTCAGAGGCGGCCGGAGGCTCTGACGGATCTTCGGGAATAACTCGTAAACGTAGAAAACACACGTAAACAAACAGTCAATCAGGGACATGCATGCGGCGCGTTCACGGCCCGGACTGAAAACTGCAGCTCACTTCCGTCTTCAGGTAATTTTGTTTCCCGCGGACGAAGCGTCAGCTGGAGACAACAGGTTCAATCTGACACGTGCGTCCTGGACACACAGACACGAACTCCAGAAGAGTCCGACACGTTCTTCACCCGGTTCTTCGACCCATTCATCGTTATTTCAAAGGAATTTAACTTTGTTTCAGCGGAGGCTGCGTTTCTGCGCATGCGTGTGGGGGCTTCATCGCCTGATCAGTCGTTGCTTCTTATTTATATTATATTAGTGGTATTTTATCTATTGTTGTTAATTATTAGTCTTGTTTAAAAAAGCTTGATTCGACTTCATCTACGGTGGCTCTCGAGAAGAAAAGACAACAACAAATCACTAAACAGCAAATCACAACAAATCACGTAAAAAGACAAAATATATCTTAACACAACAAAACTTATTTGCTGTAGTTTTCAGATTTCATTGTGTTTTGTTATTTGCACCTCAGGGCCACCCTACTATCGAGACTATAATATTTCAGAAACTGTAAAACCAAGTGGTACAGATAAGCCCCCTTTATAACACGTTCATAAACTTATTAATGGCTGTATTGATGGTAAATAATTAATTTATAGATGACCTATTAAAAGCTATCAAACTTCGCCAGGTTGGGGAAAATCCCCCTCAAGCGTGACCTTCATTTAAGTTAGTTTCAGGCTCATTATGTCTGTGCACAGATCCCTCTTCTAATTCTTCACCAAACCAAAACATTAAGCCACAGCCAAAATGAAAAGTAAAACACTTGTTTTATTATTATACTACTATATGACAGCATTGTTACAAATACAAAGCATTTTTTCACAGTTAAATAAAAACAGCAAAACAAAGGTCAAACGTAACGGACTGTGAAGTGGGTGGTTTCAAAGCCTTTTGAGTTGGTGTCAAGTTTCAGCGAACAACTCTTTTACAGAGCCCACATATTATTATTATTATTATTATTAGCATACATTTCTGCTTTCATGGTCCCTCGCCACAAGATGCCTCCAAGACTCACTCATGAACCGTTTTTTGTTTGGTGTGACCACAAGTTTGTGTTCTCTGACAGATATTCAGAACAGCAACAAGTGGTTAGGTTTGGATTTATTGTAAGGGTCTTGAATGCCTCACAAATGCATCTAATATACAGCTGCTGATGAATTTCAACCACTTGTTGATAACAGGGTTTGTAAACAGGGTAGTTGTTAAACAAGGCAATGGTGGAGTGACACATAAATTAGTTTGTTTTTAATTCCTTCATCTCATTGTGACGCCTCCTTCTCATAATGTAAGATGTAGATTAGCTCTGTAATATCTACCACCGGAGCCTGTTTTTAACCTTTTAACGAAGACAACTTCCTAAAAAATAACTTTGGTTTATTTTTTGGATGTTTCTCAATGAGAATGAACCGTGTAGAACAAATAAAAGAAATCATAGGTCTATATTTGCTAGAGTTTAAACTAAGGTGCAATACTCAAAGACAAAGCATGCATAAGCACACTTTCTTGTGGCTTGAAACAGGGAGCTGCTGATTATAAAAAAAATTTTTTTGGTAAGTATTATTAAAAAAGTCTCAGTACCGCTGAGCTTGAACAAATTTCTCTTATCAGCAGCAGCTACTGCAGTTTAACTTATCAGACTCTGTAACACAGGTCAGGTTTGAAATGTGCTTTAATCCTGCCCTCTTTCCAACTATGCAAAACAGTTTTCTTAGTGCTTTTTGTTTTTAAAGAACCGATTGATTTTATGCTCCTGCAATTGCTGTAATTTGCATTGGTTTGGCTCTTTGTTCTTAACTGAATAAGTTACATCGCAGACTTCTTTTTTAATAATTTGTCAAAAACTAAATCTAAAAATATACTTCCCCTTTGTCTCCGTAAAAACTAGATTGAAAACCTCTTCCCAGATCCCTCAGCCAGAGTAATTCAACTTTCCAGAATCCCCCTGGCCTTTTTTTAATTTTTTTTTTTAGAAGGCAGCTGTTGTCATAACCGGATAGTACAAATACACCAAGTGAGACAGGTGGTCGCATCAGGAAGTGCGTCCCAGTCTGATGTGCAGTTTACATGGACATGTGTTCAGGCAGAACATAGGAGATGTCGTCCCAGGGGTGTCGGTACAAACCCTGTTTCAGTCTCTTCTGGTCCAGGTAATGGCCTAATACAAGATGAACAGACATAGTTTAGACTTGGTCTTGTTTTATCACTTTGAACAGTTGGTGTCATGTCTCAGTCTTAATGGGACTCACCAATGAAGCCCATACTCCGGCCAAGGACAAAGATCCCATTCAGAGCACCGATCTCCACAAACTCGTCAGCCTCATCTCTGGAACAAGTTCAACATTCATGTGAGCAACAATACAGACAATGCACTTTGACATACACATTGTTTTCCAAATGTATTTAAGAATAGTTTTATAAATAAAAGTATAATTATGTTTAGTAATGTAATGGAACTATTATCCTCCAGTGGAAATGTTCAGTTTTTCAGCAGACATTCTTACCGTGTGAAGCCGCCACACGTCCTGAGCAGGTCCACAAAGGCAACACCAATAAAACCGTCTACATTAAGGATCAGGTTGGGTTTCTGAAAATACATATTACATATACTCTGATTGCAGCTTTTGACATCCCTTCCAGACCACTTCATCTACTTTTTGCTGATGAAAATTCTTCATATAGTTTGTTTCCCTCTTGCTAATTCAACTGACAAGTACCTTTGAGGTGGTGATTTTCTCGACGTCGAGGGCGTAGTCGAGCAGCTGGGTGGAGGTGAAATGCTGCTTAACAAAGTCCTTCAGAATCTGCACCCGCATGTCGGGGTTGTTGATCTGAAAACAAAGACAAACCGTGTTTTTAATACGGATGTTCTGTCTTGAAGAAACTCTTAACTGAATAATTCTGCTTTAAAATAAGAAACAGATATAATCTTTGAAAGCTCATGATAATGTAACTTAGCTTTGAAACATTGTGAAAAGCTGAGCGCTGCATACCGATTTGACCCTGTGGCCAATGCCCATGATCAGCTTCCCGTCCTTCTTCATCTTGTTGACAAACTCCATGGGGAGCATGCCGCTGTCGAATGCTTTGCTGAACTGCTTTGCAGCTGCATCCAGAGCCCCTCCAAATCGGTCCCCCTGAAATTAGTGAATACATTTCAGTACAGAAACATGTCGGTCAGTTTGAACCATTTTTAAAATCCAAAGCAATCAACAACGTCACTGGACCAGTTTCTAATCTAGTTGTTTAAAAGATAATTATGAGTATATTTATTTGTGTTTTCATTGCTTCTGTTATTTTTATGCTGGCACAGCGTGTATGTGTGTGTCATGAGTACTGACGATGGTGAGTAGGCCAGAGGTGAGGCTTGAGATAAGGTCTTTGCCAGCACGAGCACAGACAATGGTGTTGTGTGCACCGGACACAGCTGGCCCGTGGTCCGCAGTCACCATCAGGCACATTTCAATGAACTGGCAGGCGTAGCGCGGCAACCTTGACAAAAGAACAGACACAATTGCACTGATTATAAGTTTCTTAAAGAAAAATTAAAGAGCCATCACTTCTTTCCCCACTGACTTTTTAAGTTTTTGTCTGAGGTAGTCACACTAACCTGCGCTGGAACCAGAGCAAGCCCAGCACTCCTCCTAAACCCATCTCCTCTTTAAAGACCTCAGTGATTGGCATGCCAGCGTAGATGAGCTCCTGGCCGCGCTCGTCACAGATGCTCGTCATGAACGAGGCTGGTTTACGGATCAGTCCCAACTCCTGGAGAAAACCCAGCGGGGGGGTTAGAACAAATATCACGATTTCAAACACAGGCAATAAACAGTGTGCAACTGCAGAAACTCAAGCGTTACATTTCTGATAACAGAAACAGCGGCATTATTAAATATTTTGTCCACAAGAGAGCAGCAACAAGTTTATATTTCAACAGTAAAATGCTAAGCTCTTAAAATACCAAGGTCACAATACTTTAAAAAACAAATCCTTATCATAAATGTATTTTTATGTCCCGAGTCAATATACACATCCTATTAAATAAAATCTGAAAATAAATCCTAAATAGTTGCTATACAACAACTAAATATTTAATGTAGTTTGATCATCAACATTCTTACCCTTGCCCAGGAGTAATCCATAGGTACCGTTGGGGGAGGAACCTCCTGGGCAGGAATGATTGTACCATTGGCCACCAGCTCATCATAAACGGTCCTGTTTCATCAAATATACAACATCAGTGGAAAAACCCTGAAAACAAATCAGGGATAAACTTTGCATATCATTTATAAACCCTCTCACTTGATGACGTTTCCCAGCTCGTCGAAGCTCTTTGGAACATAGGCTCCGGCGTCCCTCAGAGCCTGGTTCTTGGCTACTGCCGTTTCGGAAGCCTGGTTGGCGCAGGCCCCTGCATGGCCAAACTGAACCTGAAGATGACAGTATGACAAACTTAATCAAAAATACTAAATCCTCATCTCACAACAAAATAGTCAGCATTTTTTTCCCTCAACAAACCTCTGAAGCAAACATGGTGGCACAGGTTCCAATACACCAGCAGACTACAGGCTTGGTTATCCTGCCCTCTCTGATGCCTTGGCAGATCTTGTACTCCTCTGTGCCTCCGATCTGGGTTGTTAAGAGTAAAAGATGTGAAAAATAAAGTTGCTTCACCCACAGGTCAATCTGATAATATGAGCATTCGCAGAGTTTCCCCCCACCTCTCCAAGCATGACTATCATCTCAACCCCTGGAGTGTCCTGGTAACGAAGGACGTGATCCATAAATGTGGAGCCTGGATATCTGGCAACGAGGAAAAAAATACAACAAAACATTTCTGTGTTGTCAAGATAAAATCATCTAAAAACTGTCTCCTCTGACTGACTCCTAAGCAAATGTGCAAATGAGTTCTTGTACCTGTCTCCTCCAATGGCAACACCTTCATAGACGCCGTCTGTGGTGCGGGAGATGATGTTGTTCAGCTCGTTGGACATACCCCCAGAGCGCGACACATAAGCCACACTGCCAGGACGGTAAAGTTTGGAAGCAAGGATGTTGTCCAGCATACCGCCTGTATTACCAATTTTAAAACAGCCAGGCTTGATGCCACCAACCTGGGAAACAGAAAATCAAATGAACTTGTAAGTGTAACTTACTGCTTAGACAAACCGAGACTATGACAACTAAATTTACAGCATATTGAAGAAATTCAGGGTCCAGTTTTTAAAAGTTTCAGTTAGTGCGATGTGGCAGCGTACCGTGGCAGGGCCAATGATCGTGACACCTTTTTCATCAGCCATCTTGATCAACTTTCTTGTCTGTGCTTCAGGGATGCCCTCAGCTATAATGGCAATAGTGTGAATCTGGAAACAATTAAGCAAAAGACTTTGCTTTAATGTCTGACTGAAAATCACATGTTTATTCAGTAAAGATTATGCCTTTCTACCTGTGGGTGCTGCATGGCCTCAATCGTACTGTCGTATGCGGAGCGCAGTGATGCAAAACTGATCAGGACGTCCACCTCTGGATGCCTCTTCATGGCATCGGCCATGTTCTTATAGACTGGCAGCAGGATTTCTTTGTGCCCCCAATAGAACTTCTGCTTGTGATCCCCACTGGGAAACAGGAATAAAAAATAATAATCTTATTTTAGGTAGAGTTGATATCACAGTTATTCCAGTTTTCCCCACAAGTAATCAATAGTTGCAAACTATACACTGTGCATTTATTTCTTAATAAAAAGTTACAATTGTAAAATACTTTTGTTTTCTTTTTTTTATTACAAGTGAGAAGGTTGAGCTGACTAGTTTTCGTCATCATTTTACAGAATATGAAGAAATGTCAATGTCTTGAAAGATATGAAGACTTGAATCGGTATAAGAAGATTTAAAAAAAGAACATAGAACTGCAAACTGCTTAACAACAGCACCTTGTGTTGGTTACATTATGAAATGTATTGACCCTTGTAATTTCCTTAAACCTACGTGAAGGGATAGACCATGGCTGCCACTGAGGGTTCGTCCCGGGAGCAAACGTAGTCAAAGTCCATCATGCCTTGCACAGCACGGGTCTGCATGCCCCAGACAATGGCCTTGGTCTGTTTTCTGAAGAGTGTGGTGGCTTTGGCTACATGAAGGAGAAGGCGGATAGAGAGAGATTAAAGTTAGAGATGAAGAGAGAAATAAAAAATAAAATCACAGCCAAGAGGAGGAGGTCTGGCTCAGGAAAACACCAGGAATGGGGATTGTAAGAAGTAGAGAGCATAGAGATCTTGTTATGAGGACAAAGACACAGGAGGTAGAGAAAATAACTGATAGAAGACTTTTCACCACTGAAAGCACAGCTACAACAGATTGTGTCTTTCTTTCTCGATGCATACAAGCATACAGTATGTGACCTGTCACACACAACTGAATATGACACAATTTTTATGTACAATAAGTTTACTCCGTACATTATTTTGTCCACCCCCCTCACTCAATTTAAAGGATTGATTTGGGACTTCACAGTGTTAATATATGAACTTGTACAGGGGAAACTTTACCAAATTAGCCACACTGAAGTTCAAGTAAAACCTTTTCATGCTCACATGCTGATAACTCTTACTCCTGCACAGCGCCCGTGCAGTTGCACTGTGTGAGATTAGACAGTTTGGCCTACTTCATTTCCTCTGAGGGAAGAGGCTTCATCAAATCGTCGAGAAAGTAACTTCTCTGCCAACACACTTAGATTTTTCATGAAGTTAAATTGTTTTTCAAGAAACTTTTTCGACTGTGGGTTTGTAAATATTGCTCAATGCTCTAAGAGACCACTCTTTTTTTTATTGCTAAGCAGGAACACCATGTGAGGTTGTCTGAAAGACAGAACCCCTGAGTGCTGGTGACGCAGCTGTCTCCTAGTAACTGAATTAATACTTTTCCATGTCCTGATACTGCAATGACTCAGGAGTAAATCAAGCCCATATGTGAAGAATAAAAAAAAAAAACCAAATACCTGAAACATGAGTAAAAGCTCATATCTCTGTTTTGAAAGCAGAATGTCATTGGACAATGTGGCTGGAAATATTTGTTGCAAGGTTAATCACCATGTCACTTGTTACATTTGTTCCAGTCCTCCCAAGCCTCTCCTCCTCTCTGCCTTCTGTTGTTACATCTGATCTACATTAATCCAAGCACACAGCGATCACCTGTCCAATGACGTCTTAAGACGAAGCTGGTCATACAGAAACTACATACTGCGAGTGGAACTGTTAAATTTGTACCAACCAGAATAACTCAGTACTCCTAAAAGATAATGTCACTCGCATAATCAGACAGATCCAAGATGATTTAACAATGTCAGTCTGAAGGAGAAATGCCTGATCAACCAGCGATATAAAACCAGACACCTAAAGGAGAGTTAGCCACCATCAGAATGGGGAAAAAAGGAGGAACAAACTGCTGAGAAACATCACAGAGCAGACAACGATGGGAAGGCAGAGGGGAAACAGGCAGAAGACCGAGAGGACTGGAGGACAGGTTTTTCACACCCTTCCATACCTCCGCTGCAGCCTGAAGAGGCCTGTGCTTCTGTGACCCCCACAGGACGGAAACACAGAATGTGACAAAATAAACACAAAAAGAGAAAAGAATGAGTTCATCTTAACCTTAATGTTTTTAAAAGACTTCAATGCATTGTGGCAACTGTGTTACCATCTCTGAAAACACTCCATTAAAAGCCTAGCAGCGGGAGAGCATGCAAAGCTCAGCTGCTATGGAGCATGCCTTTACTGTGCTGCTATAAGAAGCAATCTAAAATGTATTGTCAAGCCACTATCAAACTCTCATTCACAAATAGCCTGAGATGAACTTCTCACACAACAATAAAAAGTATCTCCACACACAGCACACAACTAGACTCAACAAATCTTTTCAAAAAGATCCTTGCATTTATGAGCCTTAGCAATAAAAACAAAAACGGGAGATATACTCAATATTATTTCCACAGTTTAATTATTTTTATGTATTCATAAAAAAATACAATAATCTTATTGCTGAAGAAAATAAGCAATACCTGGAAAACCTCTGAGTTGATGCAAACAAGTTTGTAGGGCTGTGCGATATATTTTGTGTAACAATAGAAAAAGATCTATAAATAACTTTTCTGGCAATTTTTCATTATTTGGAAAGCACTTTGCGCATGATATTGCATGAAGGCAACACAAACAAATATGAATGAGTGAACGTTACATCATATGAAGTCATTCTAAACAGGAAGACTAAGATGAGCCAAGACAAAATGAGGAACATGTACTTAAAGGGGGGAACTACACTGCTAACCTCTTTCATCACCTCAAGAATCATGAAAAACTATACAGAGTATATGGATGATGGCTGCAAAAGTAATCCAGACTCAGATGCAATGAGAGGCAAACAATCACGAGAGTGTAAGCAGATAACAGCTGCAGTTGCAACTTAACATCTGCAGTGACATGGCCACAACTTACAAGGTGGAGAAAAGGAATGAGAAACAAATAACGATATGTATTGTTCCCAGGATGTGAGTTTTGTTCATATCGCACGGCCCTACATGTAGGTGTCACACACAGTCAAAGTCCTTTCTACAGACATGAGGAGTCAAAAGGAAAACCAATGCGGTGCTGGTCGACAGCCGTGAGCAGTGAGGTCATGGCGCACCTACCACTTACCTTTCCAATCTGCTGTGACCACATTCTTCAGAGGCCACAGTATAGAATGAAGAGAGTCTTAGAGAAACAAGCACGACAAAGACGGAGGTGAGAGGACAGTAAGTGCAGCAAAACAAAAGAAGAAGAGGAGGATGGAGAAATCAAAAGAAAATGCAGAATTGCAGCATTGGGGGGGGGTATAGGAAGGGGAGGAGAAATTAAAAAGCAGAACTGTATAAGTCCGTGGAGTCTTGCTGACAAGAAACAGCAGAGATGGCAGTGTAACAGTTTAGATACCTGCTGGAAGACCTGCTTTAGACTTTTTCGCTGGGGTGGCATCATTAGGAGTCCTGGGTTCAGAGAATGATGCCGTCCTTGTAGCAGCTGGAGTCTGGTGCAGAAAGAGAGAAATAATGTTTTCCAAGGAGATGGTGACATGGAACTAACAATTTCAGTCTTTCAGTGAGAGAATCTGTAGTGTCTGACAATTGTCTTTTATTCTGCAGAGGCAGATATGAATTTTTGAAGACAACATTGTCTTAAATTAATAATGTGGTGCTGCAAGACCATTTGGTGTGTCCTCTCTCTTTAGCAAGTTTGGCTTCACAATAAAGAAAGAGGGGAAAGGGCTAAACAATACATCAGCACTGCAGCAAATCACCCGCAGATAATTTACAAGCAAGTTACCGAATAACAAATACCATTGCACTATTGCTGGCGTTGAGGAGGAAGTTGGCGGTATGTGCGTCCATTGGAGGCTGGTTGGGGATTGGCCGGTGGCCCATGGCCATTCCAACGATGGCTGTCATATGAGTTTCGGTACCAAAAACATGTATAGGAATACCCGTTGTCTTTCCTGCAGAGGAAAAACACAATTTCAACAACTTCTGCTTATTTTACCAAAAATAAACAAAAATACAAACGTGCCATCTTTCTTCTAATGTTAAGTCCAAAAATGCTTTCTAAAATTTCTTAACTAAAATATTTCTTAAGTATGAAATTACATTCTCTATGACTCTCTGCTTCGACTCACTCACCAACTTCCCCCATCACCCTCAGGCCCTCCTGGTAGTTGGGTCCACCACGTCGAACAAAGATTGTGACCTCATGTTCCTTCAGAGGACCTTGGTAGTCTTTGATGGCTCTGACAATGCCCTAAAGTGAGAGAGAGGCAGGTCAGCTACAGTAATTAAAAATGTTGATCATTTGTCAAGAGTTCAGACATTTGTCCTTCTTAGAAAGCAAGAGGAAAAGTTTGATTCCATATTTCTCAAACTTACTAAGACACATTTTAAACCTCAAAAAACATTATTTGATGTGAAATTTCACACCGAGCTTCTCAAAAAGAATCTAGAGCGGCTGCAGCGTTGGAAAGACACTATTGCAGTGGAGTCCAAGGAAATCACAGTTAATCACACTAAGATAACATTTAGAGTGTCCATGAATTAGTCTAAACTTTGTCTTAGATAAATATATCAGTGCGTGTCACCTTGAATGTGGCTGCTACATTGGTGAAGTTGGCAATACTTCCTCCAATGATCAGCACTTTCCCTGTATGATAAAGAGAGAGGAGGTGATATGTTAAGAATATGTCCGTGACTGAAATTTAACACCCCACTAACATAGCTGAAGTGACAGCCTTGAAGTCTATTGCTGGCAACATACACATAAGGAACCTGGAGACACACTAGAGGTGAAGAAATGAAAAAGGAAGGTCACATTGAAGAACAATGGTCAAACACTGATTTATGCAATTTTACAGCAGCCATGAGAAATATCCAAGTTAATTAAAGGAGTCAATTTTCTGGTACTGAACTTCTTTGACCTTCTTTGGAGAGGGCGTTGGCTTTACTCACCTTCAGGATGTTTTTCACGCGTCATGAGAGAGAGGATGGTCTTTGCATAGTCGTAGGTCTGCTGTTCGCTGGGAGCACCAGAATATTCGCCATAGTTTGCCAACTCATCCACCCCACCCAAGTCACAGATGGTGTCACTTAAAAAGAGAGAAGATGGACAGTCAAGTACTGTGTCCTGATTGTAGTTTGTAAATCACCCTAACTCCTTTTGGCTAAAACGTCTCACATAAATCTAGTAAATCAATGGACTACCTGTACACAACCGAAGCTCCTCCTCCTGCAACCATGGTCCAGATCCGGCCACAGGGGTTCAGCAGGGTCAGCTTCAGACTGGCCCCACTTTTTGCATCCAGATCTGCTATGTAGGCCTCCTACAAGCGACAAATCATATATATATATATATAAATAAGATTACTACGTATGCAGTCATTGAAAGAAATTAGTCTGTGAAGTCAAAAACATATCCCACCAAGGCATTAAAATTGTACATCCTCTATGAACAAACTGAGAAAGTAGAAACTTTATAACCCAAAAAAACTTAAACGACACAAGCACTAAAAGTCTGGTCGTTCTTCAGATCTCACCTCTGGATATGCCTCTCTGCCGAAAGGTGGTGGGAACTCAATGTCACCCCATTTAGCCTTGCAGATGTAATCTGCTGTGGCATCAATCTTGGCGGCCATGTCAAGGACGTACACTCCTTGGTCAGTGACAACTGGTTGACAGGAGAAAAAGTATTTAATGATATGATATTTTTAACACTGAAGATTAACACTGAATCTTGCTTGTAGGAATCACAACGAGCTAAGTAAAAAATCAAATAGTAATTACCAAGGGGGTTGATCTCGAGGTAGGTGAAATAGAGGTCCTCATAAAAGTTGACGAGACTGACGATAAAACTAGACAGGACTCTTTAAGGAGAAAAAGTGCAGACAGGAAATCAAAGGCAGCTCTTAATTGAGAAACACAAAATAAAATAAACATGTCACAGATAAATTCACAGTGTTCACAGGAAAGGTTCTACTGTATAAAAGGGAGTCAGCATGTTCTCTGCTCACAGTGGGTTTGGTATCCGAAAAGGGAGAAAATAAGAAAGTTCAAAGTTCACTGGCAGAAAAATATAGGAGCCACCATAACCAGGTTTCCACTGAAAGTTAGATATAAAACATATATGTTATAAATGATATAAAATGGCAGGTTTTCACTGTTGTTTTGGCAATAACTGTCTCTCTGAAGTGAGTCTGCAGTTTGTAATTATCAAATAAACACAATATTGTGATCTTTATGTCTTATTTTCAACCAGCAAAGTTAAGGTTAATGCTACAGATCTTTCCATGTGGATAAACAAATAAAAAAGGATGCATTCATACTCTTTCTTATTTTCAGGAACGTGTGTGAGGAGCTGATCTCTGACTTGGTCTTCACTGAGCTTGTCGTCCACTGCCACCATCAGCCTCTGGGCCTTGGTGTCCACATCGCCCACCTCCATTCCTCCCTCGTGGTGGAAAAGCACATGGTCGCCCTCACGTGTGGCATAGATACACACATAAAACTCCTCCTCCTGGTAAAAAGTCATGGCAAATACAAGGACACAAAGATTCTTTTAACATTTGACTTGTTTAAACTGATTTTCACGCAGGGTGCGCCTGTTCACACACTTCATTGCTAACAACAAGAATCACACACATACTGCTGCACCTCAGTTTGTTCATTTCACAAAAAATATGAAGAAATCAACCAATTGATCTCATGATCGCTGACCTAAAAGTAACACAAAATAATGTATGAAAGCTGGTCCAGGAGGTTTTATTGCCCTGCTTAGAGGACTGACATTTTGTTTTCTTGGTTGGTGTGGGGTCTATACAGCTCCTTGAGGATTTATCTATGATTAAAAGGCTATGCAAATATACTAGACTTGACACAGGGTGGAACACATTACCTGTGTGTGTGGCACAAATGGCTCAATGAGGAAGTTCTTCAACACACCCTTTGCCTTCCCAACCTATTAAAGACAAACCACATGTTAGTTTCCTGCTCTAACTTAGAACTTTCTAAATATGAAAGACAGTCTTAGTTTCATATTAAATCTTGGTAGTTACTTTGTTTAGTGAGATCTGGTATTAAAAAAGCAAGAAGCCAATGACCACAGTGTAAGTACGGCCTCTGCATGTTTGGAGAGCAGAATTGCATGCCTGTATATATGGTTGACCAGAATAGACCACCTCCTCCATTGGCCTAATGTCACCTCTGACCTGACAGATCTAAACATAAGCTGGTGGTCTCTGAAACTAGACACAACGTGCACATGACACACGTCGTGGGAAAAACAAGGAAATAAAGCTAACGTTCTCTCTATATACTGAGAAAAAAAAAAAAATATGTGGCACTAGTGATTCAGAACTCATAACTGTTAGGCAAATTATTTTAACATAATAAGTGTGAATCAAATTGAAGAGCAGGAGCTGTTTGCTAAATATATGCAAGATACAATGTATTTCAATTTTTTTTTTTTTTTAAATCTGTCACCTTGCAATAAAGGCAACAAACTGTGTTGGTCAATCAAATAAGTCCAAGAATATTTCTGTTAGATTGCTTTGTGAACTTTGCAACATAAACAGCATATTTATACTGATTAACCTAGAGACCACAGCAACAAACAATAACTAAAGAAGTAGAATGGTTCTGCATAGTAATATAATCCACTCTGAAGTGTGTTGATGTCTGATTGGATCTGTTACTCAAACTCAAATGTTGTCTCAAATGTAATGCTGGATTGTTGCTGGTCTAGAACTCACTGTGACAGACAGAGAGAGTACAGTAAACTTACAGTGGTCTCTTTCATGAGGTGGCCTCTGACCCACTCCTTGACACCCTGCAGGTCCAGGTTAATGCCCACCAGCCCAAGCTTCCCGCGCCGCTTGATCAGCTGATCCGGCTTCACCACGAGCCGCTACAGGGAGAGCGAGCAGAAGACAGATAAACCACCGATCAAACAAAAGCCAATTTGCATCAGCAGCGCTGTGCCATATGAAACTGATACCAGACTAAAACTTTACATGTACAGGTGTTTGTGTCTAGTAACTATAAATGAGAACACAGCAGCTTTACCTCTGTCAGCAGCCATGGGTGCTCCTGCGTGAGGCGGTCCCAGTCAGTCTCAGTGGTTACTCTGGCATAGGAAAAGCGATTCTGCACGTCCACTGAAGTGCAGATATACTTATATAAGAAATCTTTTCCTGTCTGCTCTGAGATGGCTTTCGCCGACATGGCAGCGCTGGCTTGCACAGGACCTTCGGAGAGAGTGAGGAGAACGGTCAATTTCACAGAAGAACATGATAATATCTAGGACAAACCTACTATCAAACCCAGATAAAAATGTACATATACAATATGATTCAGTGACCTTAGTTTAATCATTTAATGGGTGTCATAAGACTATTAATTGCTGTTGCATCTGAAATCCTTGAAAAGACATCCAAGACACTGTGTTAAAGCGACTATTTAAATGTGTTGGAATTAAATTGTTAAAATTATGATTTACAAAGTAAAAGTGATCTAGCCTTAATTTCTGAAGTCAAGCCAAGTGGACCTCTAAAGCTTTCTGATGCCTTGCCAGGAAAACTTATCAGTGTGGTGGAGATTTTTTAAAGAGACAAATCCCTTGTGTCAAACAGAGATAAACTGTAAAAGCATTTGCTTTTGTGGCCACACATACTATCAAAATATCCATGATAGATGCCTGAGTTTGTGGCAATGCTACACTACATTTGCATGCAGTTGTTTTGATGCTGAAAATGCAAACAGATAATTCTATGCATCTGTTCTTGAAAATTATCTCGTCTTAAAACTAAATCATTCTACCAACTCATCTTAGTGACCTGAATGCTTATTTTGTCAGATGTGTGTATTAATGTCCTTATTTGTCTAAAAGATCATTTCTTTCCAATATTGGCTAACAATGCTAGCATATGGAAGATGTGCAGATAAAACCACGATACTGCAGAGTTTTAATGTTCCTGTTTGTGACTGATAGCTAAATTTTGTTCCAAGCCAAGAAACGTGAGATCCCCAATGAAAACAAATCCCTTTGTACCTCTTCAGCACTCTTAAAGTCATGTTTACTAATTAAGCTGTGGACTGCTTTCATTTCACAGATTGTGTGTCAAACTGTCATCACGTACTTTAGAGACAGTGGTGAATCCTCCAAGTGACTTGTTTTAATTTTCAACCATTTATGAGCTTGAAATGAGACGTACAATAATATTATAACATTCAGTCAGTCACAGATCCCCACTTCAAATCCCTGACTAGTGTGCACACAACCTCCTTCCATCAACAAATCAGCATTTGTGCATAAGGTAGTAAGAAGTGTAGATAAGAAAATAGAAAAACAACAAAATTCCATGTTAGTGTTCAGAGCAAGATGCAGGTGGAGCTCAATTAGTCCGTCAATCAACGGAACATCAATAAATGGCAGATTAATCAATAATAAGTAAAGGATTGGCACTCCGAGTGCATACCTCTGCCCAGGTCCAACAGTCCTCTTATGATACCACATTTAAGTTCACTAGATACACATTTTTATTTGGTTGAGCAAATAATTTCACACAAAGGAATATCAGTCCCCTCAATGTGCAGGATGTTTGCCGTCAAGAACTCTATGAAATCAATTAAATTGAAAAAATACCCATGTTAAAAGAAAAAAAAAAGTTCCCAGATGTGCCCCCTGATCTGGATCTGCTCCAAAAACTAATGAGTTCCTCTATGACTCAAACCACATCCTTCCAAAAAGTTTTGCAGAATCTTCAAACTAACAAACATTCAAATGCAAGTGAATACATAGTCTCCTCAGCTGAGGCAGTAATGGTTAGTTCCGGCCATAGCAACTAGGGAAAACCACAGCATAAATAAGATTTGATATACCTAATGCTTGGTATGAAGCCAAAATGACAACTGAATCATATGTAGACTTGAGATTATTAACTGGCAAAAACAAGAAGCTATCAAACTTTGCAATCTACCAAGAGGACTGCACCGCTAACCCTGACATACCCATTTTTAACACCACACAATGTTGTCAGACCTGCTCGGCGGACGTGTCACTGCCAATGTTGCCTCAGCGAACACAAACAGATGTTAATGTGTAGGTCATGTTTTCTTTTGGTGTGTTGCCTGAAGTTTACAGCTCTAATCAGAGGAGATGCTGAGCTCCTGAAGGCTTGGGGGGGGGGGGGGGGGGGGGGGGGGCAGTATGTGGAACAGTCCCTGCAGTTGAACCACCTTCGTTATCTCCACCATTAACTAAACAGTGATAAGCTGTGAGGCTTGATAACATGAATCGTATCTCCTCTGTGATACTGAAAACATTTTTATCGTGATTATATCCCAGCTTCTGAAATACAAGCTCTGTGGAAGCTGCAGCACCTCGATGCATTAAATCTGCAAGGGGTCTTTGACATGCAACCTGGTGGGTTTGGCTTAACAGGCTGACCTGTCATGCTTTCAGGGGCAGATGTCCCAGTATTTATCCTGCACATAATCCACGGGTCCTGCCCATTGTTTCAGACTATATACCCGTGAAATGATAGTCTCTGCACCGCTTACTGACATGAAGGAAGCTGGGTTCGGAGGCAGCGTGAGCAGCAGCATCACATGGGCCGGGGAGGTGGTGCTGCTTCAGACACAGCTGTTGTTTGACGAATCCATCCATGCTCCGTCTACATGCGTCAGGCGAGCACTAAATGAATGAAGCCCCTGTAACCGGCAGCCACCACACCCACCCCTGCGAGCCCTGCCTGCCGGGGGAGTTCGACAACTTCCAGTGAGTCAGGGAGGGAAGGATGACAGGCTTCCCGAGGCAGGGGCTGCTAATTAAGGCTAGCATGCGGGTGATTAACTCTGAAGTCTATTTTAAAAGAGTTAAAACTAAAGAATGCAATAAATAAAGCGCGTGCCATCTCTTGTGTTTCTCACAGGAGGACACTGTGTACAGTTGGAGCCTCGCAGCATCTCATATCCGCTGACCTGGACTCCTGACTCACTCACTCACTCACTCACTCATTCGCTGACCGGGGCTAGCCGCTGTAGCCTAGCTAGCTAGTTTATCAGCTAACACCGGGCTTTTAGAAAACACACAGAGCGGAAGAGGTTACCTCGTCAGCGGAGGTAGTTAGTTGCAGAAGTACCGGACACTGGTCCTGGAGAGAAGTGACACCAGCTGAAGGGTCGCGTCTCCTCGTACCGGGGATGAGTCCTCTGCCGTCCGTCGTCTCCTCCTCCGCTCCTGTGGTCGCACCACAATCTGACGACCGATTACACGACGCTGCCGCCCGCTCATTGGCTCAGCGCGCTCACGTGTGAGAACGTCAGCTACACCCAAGGCTTCGCGACGAGGACAGCGACTAGAATTAAAAACTGTAAAACTGTAAAACCTTAATTAAAACACAAGATCACACGATCACAAATCATACAAGCAAGAATTCCTCTTTTTTAATTTTTTACTTCTTCTATTTCGGGCGTTTTATTTGTAGGAAATAATACAACCTTTTATACTAGGAACAGCTATTAGAATAAAACGTACACCATTAAATGTACATTGGTCATAAAAACAGAACAACTTTTTCATTTTTATGTTTATTAAAATTCTATTTAGGTGTTTCATCAAGAAGTTAAAGTCGTTGTATTAAGAACAGTCCTTGGAATAATAAAAAAAAACACTATAAACCTGTAACTACTCAAAATCACCCCAAAAAAACTCAAACCTCACTTTTACATTTTTTGTTATTTTACTGTATTTGTTTAAAAATTCTATTTTAGGTGTTTTTTTTGTAAAAAAACAAACAAAAAGTAAAACCACGGCTTTATCATAAGATCAGCCCTATGATTTAAACGCCATAAAACTGTAACAATTCAAATAAGCACAAAATTACAAAACATACAAACAAAAATTCCTTACTTTCTTTTTTTTTTAACTTTATTTACTTCAAAAATCTATTTTAGGCATTTAATTCATAAAAAAAAACATAAAACCATCAGCTCCAGAGAAAAAACAGAAAAATGCTTGTGCACAAATGTTACAATTTCCTGGTGAAAAATTACCCAAGTTAACATTTTACAATAAATTTTAACGAATAGAAATCTATAGGAAGATGTGGTCAGATACTAAAGCAAAAGTGACTCAGTTACAAGTAGATGTGAAAAGTTCTACTTCTCTTAAAGTGTCACAAGCAACTCATTAAATTTGGAATTATTTGTGCATTTAGATTTTAATTTATACTACATTACATTATTTACTGTTGGGTAGCTTTTTCTAAAAAACAATGCATCTGATGTTTTGATTATAAACTGTTCAAAGTAACTCGTAAGTTGTTGACCAAATGCAATGTAGTAAAAGAAACATCCTCAGAGTGTAGAGTAGCATAGACTAGAAACACTTAAAGTAAATTGCACATTTTTCAGTAAATATGAGTAAATATAATAAACTATGTTGGGTAACTAAAAAAAACACAATTTAAGAGAAAAGTCAAACACTACAGTAAAAGACAAGCCTTTATTTACATTTAAGAAAAGCATGTCTTGTTAATACTGTGACAAGTTGTTTTTAAATGATACACAGACCAAATAACAAGAAGCTTCCGACCTACTATCTGCGTCCCTTTGAACAGGTGGAACGAGTAGGGGAAGGGCTGCACTGGCTGAACGTGCATGACGAGTTTGAGTGAATGGCAGCTGGGTGTGACAGTGATAGCAACATTAAAGTTATCGCACCTCATGTTTGTCAGGTTGAAGAATTTACAGGTAAAAATCAATTTACTGGCCAGACAAGAGAAGGGCTTTCCTATGAAAGAGCTCAAAAAACAGCAAGAAAGTGACTGTTGTCATTTGAAAATAAGACGGGGCCTGCTCTACTGCTTTTGATGGTTTCACTGACTGATCTTCTCATTTTGGTAAGGCACCACTTGAATTTGAATGAAACAGTCGAACAGATGCGACTGGTGCTTTCAACAGAAGAAAAACTGGAGGTGTGTGGATGCTGATTTTGGCCCGTTTCAGAAAAACAAAAAAACAACTTGCACAATCTGTTAGTGACGACAATGATGCAGAAAACATTTACAAATGAGTCTCTTACAAAAGGAGGAAGACGATGGCATCCTGCTGCATACATTTTAAGATACACAGTACAATAAATATAAATAGACCACGGGAAGACTGAAGAGGAGAAAAAATATGAATGGACAAAAACAGCTTTACATTCAAGTCAAATATACAATGCAAAGTGGAGAAGAGGCGAAGGAACAATAACTCAGCAAGTCGATTCTATATTTGGCAGGTGAGCCAATAAAACCTGGACACACATTCGCAAGAGTTCAGTGTCGTCCTCAACAGACTATCCTGGGGTCAGTTTTGATATTGAACTCCTACAATACATTGACTTGCTCAATGGATACTTGGTGACCCAGTGGAAACTTAAAAATGTATATCATGTTCTCTAAAAGTAAAATTATCAACCATGACGCTTATATTTCTAAAGCATTCCTTACAAATTATCACCTTTAGGAAAGTCGAGGCATTTTTGCAAGACTACATTTCATTTAATATGATTTTGGCAATACCGACATGCTCTGAATCAGCTGATCACACCCTCTTTATCTTCATTGTTAATTCACATCTAAAGCCTCAGGATTTTCCCTTCTGATAATTGTAAGCGTCAATGTAAGGAGTAAATTAAGTGAATGCAATAATCAGATCTCTTCAGAAAAAGAATAGTTGGGAGATTTTGCAAGACACTCAGAAGTAAGAGCATCACAAGGGACAGTGGGTCCAACATGATTTTGTCCTCAGCAGAACTGCAGTTGCCCACATATTAACTTTAGCCAAATTGGAAGAAGAAGTTTCCAGGTCCAGAGTCTGGAGGGAAGAGAGAGAAGTTAGTTTATATGATGAACCTTCTCAGATTGTTTCTTCCATTCTATAAAAACCGTAAGATGTAAAAACAGGACAGAAACAAACCTGGACTGGAATCAAAACTATATCCTCCACCGTGTCCACCAAAGAAAGCCCTGAAGATGTTGTTCGCATCAAAATCTTAAGAGAAAAGCAAAAGATAATGATTAATTGGTGATGGCCATCTTCAGGAAAAAACTAGATGGAAAATGTAAGCCCAAAATGTCTGAACTAAACAAAGAGTGGTGGTGAATCAAAATGTTTGACTTACATCACACAATTTACAGTTTCATCAATGTGGTGTGTTTTTTTGTACAGAAACTATTTCACCAGAAAACAGAGAAGATGAATAGTTTGACTGAGAAAATTCACATTTTCACAGGATCCAGTTTAGCGGCTGTGAAACTGCTGTGAAACTTGTTATGAACAAAGGTTTTCTGTCTCAAGGGAGGTTAAAAGAAAAAAATGTACACATGACCAAGCTGATGCCTCAGTCCTTCTTTTCGTTCCATGTCCTGTAGGTTGACAGTAAATTTACCTCCACCGTCAAGGCCGCTGTCGTCATCCAGGTCGTGTCCATTGTCATAGCGGACCTTCTTCTTCGGGTCTGAGAGCACAGTGAAGGCTTCGCCCACCTCCTTAAATTTCTTCTCCTCCTCTTTCTGCACTTCTGCAGTAGCTGCACTGTGGCGATCTGCAAAACAAATACAGCCATTTACCCATTGAATGTTCTCAAAACTGGTTTTCTGCATGTGTGTGAAAAGAGAAATATGGCTACCTGGGTGGTGCATGAGGGCACGTTTGCGATAAGCTTTTTTGATCTCATCCTCTGTGGCGTTCTTGCCGACCCCGAGAACCTTGTAATAATCTTTCCTCTTGCTCTTCTTCAGCTGCAGCTGTGCTGTTTTCAGCAGATGCTTGTGATCTACAGACATAATTAAAAATAACAAAATAAATCAAGCCATGCAAGTGTGTGCACATGTGACCAGCCACACAAAAAAAGACGACTGAATCAGCAGCGTACCTGATGTTTTTTCTGTCTGGTAAACTTTTTCATAGTCTCTCACAGCCTCTTCATACTGCTCAGTGTCCATGTAACTACAATTCACATAAGGTCACTCAGAAACTGTACAACCCTGAACAACAGAACACAAAATCTGAAAAAACACACTCATGTTGACTTTGTAACATACCACTGCGCTCTTCTTAAGTAGGCCTTGATGTACGTGTCATCGAGTTTGATCGCACTGGTGCAGTCATCAATTGCTTGATTTAGTTTCTTCAGCTGTTGACGAGGAAGAATTAATGACATCGAAATTATTGGAGACATTTTTAAGTAAGTGATCAGTATAACTGATCCAGTGCGATTTATGTAATTGCTCATTTTATTAATTTCAGTTAATTTCCTGGCTCTCTGAGGCTACTGTATGTAGCTCATGTTAGTATGTAGTATTACACTTATGTAGACGTGTTGCCTTTTACCTTTGCTCCAGCCGTAGCTCTATTGCAGTACAGTTTAGCATTAGTCTTGATGTTGTTGGGGTCTATCGTCAGGGCCTCAGTGTACAGTTGGTAGGCAGCATCGTAGTTGCAGTTCTTGAAGGCCTGATTGCCCTCGTCCTTCTTGGCTTTTAACGCTTTGGCATTCTGATTTAGTTAAGAGAACAAGTCCTTGTGTTATTTACAAACATTTACTTATACTTCAAAGGGAAACAAACAAAATAAAAGATAGATATTCATATTTATTCTATTTCTGCTAAACTTGGAGCATCGTCAATTTGTCCTCGGTGGAGTTTTCTTGTAAACAAACTTTCTGCTCTATGTTTGTTACCAAAACAGAATGACTCCTTGTGGTCTAAAAATTATACTGAATTATAACTATTTAATTCCTCATGAAACTTCTTCAATGTTGACATCTGCAACAATGAGGATTAAGTGTAACTACAGTAACTGATCACCTTTACAACATGTGGCAGTTTGGATGCAATTTGCATTATTTCAACTGTTTTCTATTAGAGATTTCAAAACAACAAAATAATGTCTATGCAAATCATTGTTTCTCACTCCACACCTTGGTCACAAACACAAAACGACAATCCTACCCTGCAGGCTAGCCGGGCCTTTTCATGATCAGGTGCCATGCGCAGAGCCTGGACGAAGAACTGAACAGCTTTATCAATGCAGTCCTCATAGTAAAGACACAGACCTCGAACGTACAGTGCGTCTGCGTTTGTGGAATCCATTCGCAGGATATCACTGTAAAAGAAAGGTAAGGAATCAAATCAACCAATATCCTTGGAAAGCTACTTAAGCAGAACCTGTGCTTGTATTGAAAATCTTTTGTGAATCCAATAAACTGTAAAATAATGACCCCAACACCAGTTTCTAATGAAAGCT